CCCCCCAGCCATAGTACTGAGCATAGTATTCGCGAATGAACGGAAAGGAACAAGGAATAGAAGGGGCAACACACCCTACCTGAAAACTAGCACTTTCCATCAGGTTGTCTGCCTATTGAGATCATCCCGGGTCTTTCATTTCTCCCTAGCTTTTTGAGAATTTGAAATCCTGATACGGTGCCGCGTTCGTGTCGACGTGTATGACCTTTCTGATTTCATCTCAGAATGGACGAGCGGAATGCTGACACGCATAGGCCTGACAGGGTTCAGAGGACCGTAGTCATAGTTAAGTTGAAGTCAACCTTCAGAGTAGCTTGCACGGCCTAAATTCCGGGGGTTCGAATCCCTAGCATGCCGTGAACCATGGGCTCGGGGGCCGTCACTAGGTCTGTGTTAAGTCGGACACAAATGCGCTCAGATCTAGTTCAGATCGTGATCCGGTTCCTGTATGGGACCTGTTACCATGCGTGGAGGCGCGGCATCTCTTTGTACTGTAAGTCCACTGTTTCAAACAAAGCTCTTACACTGACCGGCTGATACGTTCTGCCGACTTGCATGCTTGTCGCAGACTCGTACGGGGTCACAAACCATACTACTGATGGAAATGCGACAGGATTGCCATTAGAAATTGCTGTCAGTACCGACGGTCGCGACGTCACCGTTTTCTCTTGTACTCCATGCTCAGCACTCGGAGGTGATTGAACGACCTTCACTGACGGTGTTCATCTTTATACGCCTTGGACGGAGCGAGCGCTCTTATTCCAGCCATGGCAGAGCAACTTGTATCCTTCGGAATTGAGCTGGGTCCTTCCTTAGGAGCTGTCTTCATAGGTATGTGTCATGTGTCATGTCATAGATTTTCTGCCTCTGAGAAAATCTTGGCGTAGGCTGTCTTTTCACGGCAATGTTGGTATGATTCATTTTGAAACGGGACTCATGAATTGAAATCATCGCAGCCTTTCGGGCATATCGTCTGCCCAATTTATCGTCTATTACGGTAGTTGCTATCAGGGGGACTCCATGGTGGTGAAGTGCATGGTAAATTTCCTCTCCTCACTCTAAGGCAATGGCTGACGTCACAAATGATGAGATTCTTGTTTTATGGTGAGTTTTGACGTGAATGTACAGTTTTTGATAGTACTCACGGTAGTCTAGGATGCTTGATTATGTGCACCTTTGCTTCATCGCCCATGTCGTGTACATAAGCAGTGTTATCGAGCATGCGGCCCCATTAGCTATACTTGATGTGACCTGGTATATTGTATTCAGCATTTTACCGTTGATATGGCATTAATTTGGGGAACATGCAGGACTGTGCCGGTAAGACGCTGAAAATCTCTGAATCAGCGTCAATTTGACGCAGCGTATTTATCTATTCAGGCGCAGGTTGGAGTCGTCGTACGTTCATTTATATCTTCGCCATACATACGCTTCACACATGATGTTTAGGGTGCCATCGACATGATTGTGAGAGGGTGAGAACTTTTTGGCGCGTTTTCGCCTGTATACATGATTGATCATTGCTTAGCTATTTCATCTGGCGAATATGGAAATGTTGGGTTACCGCACGACTGTATTTCCAGATTAAGCTAATAAGTTCACAGTGACATCGCACAATTACTTTATGGTAATGGCTAACGTGAGTACTTGATGTTTCAATCTCGCGCTCTTAGCTGATAACCTAGAACCTATAGGCTGTCAGTGCGCTTTTCACAATATGCAAGTTTTGTAGTTATTTTTTCCGTACTCACCATGAAGCTCACCGCTCGAATCTGATTGCAGTCGTCAATCTGGGTATGTGGTTCTTGGAAATGTACAGTCTTTCAGATTGCTGATGTACTTGGCAGCCGTATGCATCAAAGCGTACGGCTTGTGATTAATCAATTTAGAGACAGAGCATCTCACTACTGTCTATTTCAACTAGGTTTCAAATCAAGACCTACGTTGAACTGGGAAATATCAAAGTAAGGAATTCATATTCAGTCGCTCATCTTGCCCTTCATGTATACTGAGTAGGTCGTGATGTACATGGGGCTTGTTGGGGCAATGGTCGCCGATCTGTCACATTCAATATCACTTTGTTTACTGCTAAGAAGACACAGATCAGGTATCCGCAGGTTCGTATTTTTCGCAGTACTAGAAGTATGTTATATATGCAAATTGGTTTTTAGGAGTGACACCATTATTCGCATCCTTACGTTGTACACCATCAATACTGGCCTTCTTCCTAGGTATGGACGGTATACAAAGGCGAAAAATATCTTCTCACGAGATACAGCTCATGCGCGATCGCTTGTTTGATAAGTGTGAGTGACCATTTTCTCGTTCTCTCAGAAGCTAACTACGTGAATGAAGTTCGCCTTAATGCCCAACAACCTCATATTTTTAGCAATCTACTTCATTCTACCGAAGCGTATGTCCGTCCTTATTTATGCGAGTCAATATTACATTCACATCCCCTAGTTCTCCTCAATTCTATGATGGCCATATTGAACGCCAGGCAACGCATTTTGAAAGCAAGCATGGTCCCTGTCACCTCCATACCGCTAGGTTACATGCCAACGGTTGACAACCACTCTCACGAGGTCAAGGTGTGCTCTTATGAAATAAATTCTAATGCCGGGTCCTTGCTGACGTGGTTTTGGTAAACCACATAGCCTCTCGAAGTGTCGATTCGCGTAGCTGTGGATCAGCATGCTGACTTCAAATGATATCGAATTGTAAATGGATTTATTCGATGACTATTGCATCGGCAAATTATGGCTCTTCGGAGTATGCAGCTCTCATCCGATAAGCTTCACATATCACCAGAGATAATTGGTGAAGGCACAAGCCAGGGCGTCTGTACTCGTCTGTTATCTTATGTGCCAGCTATCGTTGAATCCATTTTTACTGCCACTGATCTGGTTTAGTTTTGACAAGTCAGCCTGGCTGATGGCGTGTGACTGCGATTCATCGATTCATCGCTAAAAGTGGCGTCCCATGATCCTGCGAGTGCGAGGGCGGTAGCGAGCAGTGCTTCTTCAAATGAATTCTGGACCGCAAATATTACTATACGTATCTGTCAATAGCCCTTCACAATCTCTGGCTGTTGATCTCCGGCAGGCTGATTATACAAGGTGTGCACTTTAGTTGCATTATTACCGTAAGCATATTGCCTAATGATTCAAGACATATCATTGATGGATATATGCGCCAGAATTCATTTGAAGCCGGCACAGTCTGCTCGCTACCGTCCTCGCAGGATCGTGGAAAGCAGCTCGGCAGTAAACCACAACCATAAATGTGTACTTTGGTCGCATAATTTCCGTAAGCATACTAGCCAAACATCCAAGACGTGCCATGCTTAGACACTTTACCTCCCAATCTTGCCCGCCCTGACGTCTACTTAAGTATTACTCCATTTCACTAGCGATTGATATGATCTTTTTTTGATTGTTGGACAGATTAACACAGTCTGCGACATGTTGTTCTAGCCCTGTTCTGTCACCTAGGTCGTCTTTTGTCACTCATAGCCAACTCTGAACCAACGTTTGTCTGACTCCAACTTGTTGTCTGACTTTCCTCACAAATAAGCCAAGGCCTACAAGCGCGCTCGTTCCAAGGTCTGAGTATACGGCCGAATCGTGCGGTTTGATGCGTTTTAATATCTAGGAAAACGGTATTAATAGGATTTCTCAGTGGATGCGAGGAAGCTACGATAAGACATGGCTCATGCGAGCATGGGGCTCAGTAAAGTGATGAACTCGTGGCTAAATTGAAATTGCTCTTTGTCACTGACCCTGATATCTTTTGTCATGGAGTTTCAGGGGCCATGGTGATCTGTCTGGGTCAAACTTTAAGGTGGCTTCACTCTAAGAGTCGCTGCAACCCAAGGAAGTATTCAACGACCACCCAGCCCAGTTGTGACTCAATCCTTGTACTACCAAGCCGAAAATTATGTCGACTAACCTTTTGCTAGACACTACATTGGGAGCCATGTTCCTTGGTACGTTATTGATTCGAAAAAATCACGCTTCCAGCTCATAGAATTCCAGGTTCTATTGTCGTGGCATTGTTAATATCATCCCGCAGCTATCGTTATTCAGTGCTGATAATCTCGCAGTTTGTCTGCTATGTCGTACGCTCAATTTGTAACCTATTTCAAGCACTTTCAAGGAGATTCCATAGCGATGAAGAGTACAGTATGTCTTTTTATTATGGCTCGTTGGTACTCAGCCTGAAACTATTATAAAGCTCCTTGTTTTGTGGTAAGTCACACAATCATACGAGGCGAACACGGTGTTTGAAGGTGCACTAGGGGCCTTGACATCTTGCATCTTGTGTTCATTTTAAATGCAGTATATGGCGGTTGTGTTACCGATCATGCCGCTCCCTTGGCTGTACTTCGTGTTACTTGGTTCGTCTTGAGTATTTGCCATTGATTGATGAGAGAAGTTCAACATGAACTTAAAACATCCATAGGAGTATGCCTGTGAGTCAGCGAATATCTTTAAATCTCAGCTATGGTAGTAACAAATGAACCACCAAAAAGGCACATATCGCAGTCGTTGTAAGTCGGACACTGCACATACTCAGAAGTTCCATCGTTAAACGCCAATAAGGGTGCAATCGATCTGATTGTCAGAGGGTAACTATGTTGTCCAGCTGTACGACGGTCGCAGGATCATGATTATTTAAATAGATTCTTCATACAGCGAATATGGATACGTTAAGTTGTTTCTCTGAGCATTCGTTGTAGCTTTTGGCTGACACGACATCAGTGAGCTCGCATAGCTATGTGATGCTAGTGGCGAATGTAAATCTTGATTTCACATCCCAATATGCTATCGTTTCACATTTTCCCTGCACCACAGGTCGTCACCGCTCTGTTTGCTGTTGGTATGTATTCTTTATGCTCTTCTAGTGCTCACATCTTGTTGATGCCAAACAGCTCTTGCCATTGGTATGCTCTCCATTCATATTTGTGTAACTCATATTTTTAAAAAAATCCATCTGACTCAGCCGTTTGCGTCAAAGCGTAAGAGTTTCCTTTTCTCCTGTGATTGAACTGTAGATACAAATTTGATCGACATGGGCTAGGTTCTCCGTCACATACTACTTCCAGCTAGAGGAATACAAAGTTGATCTATCCTATCTGTACCCCGGACCTTCACTGCTGACGAAATGAATGAGTAGGACCTGTTGTATGCGGGGCTTATTGCTGCAATGTCGGCAGACCTGCTCAATTCACTCTCCCTTTCAATCACACTCAGGAAACGTAAAACTGGAATACTCACGTTCGATTTTTTCCCTAATGAGAAGAAATACGCTACTTACAGACACAATTCCAGAACCGACACCATTATCCGCACTCTGATTTGGTATACTATCAATACCGGAGTTCTCCCCAGGTGAGTCGAATCTAGGCAGAACAATCCTGAACTTATCCATAATAATCAGCTCATGCGCTGTTGCATGCTTTGTAACTGTGAGTATGCACCTTCGAAGTATAGTCTGAGAACCTCCACCGACAACAAAAAGTTTGCATTAATGCCACACAATCTGATATTCATAGCGATCTATTTCGCGTTACCAAAACGTGCGCATGCTCGCCAATAATATTGGTGCTGTGTTGTATTGACCCAATCATCTTGGTAGTTCTCCTCAACTCCATGCTAGCGATCTTGAATGCCAGACAAACACTCCGACTGGTAAACACACGTGGCCTTGTGTCTGTAACATTCCTTCGTTCCGGAGGATTTCGCCGCAATATGTTTCCCAGTAAACAACAGGTTAGCCCCTTGGCTTCTACGTAGGTTGTTGATAGGACCATGCGCGGAGCTGTGGTGATATGCTTGTTGCCGCCTGATGTCGATGAGGCACTAGGCTTAGTGGTCACCATCTTTGTCAGTGATTTGAACATAGCAGCGCAAGCCCAACCGGAAGTTTATGAATGTAAAAAGTGTTCTTGTATTCTGTACAGTGCTTCACTGTCGAGTTCCCGTGTAATAATTTATAATACCAGTACTATGATCAAGGGTTGATCATGGTCGGTTAGCTATAAATTCAGTATCAAATGCAGTAGCGTCGGGCAGAGTAATATGATTCATGACCCAAATTGAAAGCTGCAGGTTGGCAAGATGTAACTTCAATGCCGAACGGGACATGGTTTCGTCAGCGAGTACAAGTCCAATTTTTCACCATCTAAAGCAGCTGATTACACTACCCATATGAAATAAACTTACAGACAAAAAGGCATTTTGCAAGATTGTGCACCGTATGATCATCGATCACCACCGATTGTGACATACTCGAAGATGCAAGCGAGACGATCGACCCATCGACGGTCATCTTGGGAATGGGAGCAGGAATAGCGGCACCAGCAAGGTTCCTAGAGGAGTCTAGCGCATCCACACAGACGAAAACAGGATAGGTTCATGTTGGAACTATAAGCAAGTCCCTTAACTTACTTACTATAATGCCGACTTACAACATTTCTAATGTTTTCCGTATATGATAACACTGTTGCGCATGCCTACGGAACGCACGAGCGCCACACTTTCCCTCAGTCTAGGAAGGCTCATGATGAGATGAGCCGGCAGAAGGCCCGTGTGTTAAGACGACTGACTCTAAATCGCGTTTTGAGATCTCGAGTCGACTCGCACAAGTTACATGACTGGATCACCATGTTAATTCACCGTCGGAACAGGTTCTTGCTGCACTCGCTAGACGCCTGCATCCCGCCTTTGCTCTGGTCGTCACCCGCTCGTCGTTGCCGTCTGTGTGCGTGTCACTTGTATACTTTACAATATCCAGCCGTATCATGTCTTCTGGGTCACGACACAGTCCAGTCAGCAGGCGTGGCTACCAAGAGGCTGCTTACAACACCCCGCTCCCGTACCCCACAGAATCGCTCTGGCTAAACAAGACCGAGCCTTATTCCTGCCCCCGATCACACGGTGCACATGCCAACGCGGGCCCAGTTTCATACTCGACAAACGAGGGATTGAATGCGCACTAGCAGCGCCAGGTCAAGTTGAATCACTGTGAGTCCTACGCGCATATGTGAAGAGGTAACCGATGTATTGATCAGAACCTCCGGTATGACGCCAACATGGCTGCAATATGAGGATAGAAATACTCGTGCATGGGGATTGTGTGGCTGGAATAGCGAGCAAAGACCCCGACGAGTTTCAACGGGCGTCTAGCATGCACACTTAGAATTCTTAGCTTAGATCAGCCACTGCACTTGGCCAATAAGTACAGTGTGCTGGAGATAACAGTAGCCAATATACATGATCTACATGATCATGTCTGTTACTGAAACAGCCTTTAGCTTTGTGTGCCATCAAGGTTACTGTTGAAATATCAAGCTGATTCACCAACAGGCATGCTTTCTTATCCATGGTTATTGATGGTATGTGTGCAACCCTACTGTGTGACTAGTATGTTAGCTGCTCTATCCTTCTACAGTACCCAAACTCATCTTACAAACTCAGGACTCTTATGGGTATCCTCTTTGTGATTGTCTTTGTATATGTATACACCATACAGTATATGCCATGAGTCCACATGTCACAGTTTTTCGAAAATATTCCAGAATAAGCATGCGCCTATCTTATCTTATCAGATAACAATTAGATATAGATTAGATATATGCTGGAGTATCCACGGAATAGTAGAGAACCAGCTAGAAGGTTCTAGGACACGGTTGTCAATCAGGTGACAG